CATCCATCTGTTCATCCAACCATCATCCATCCATCTGTTCATCCAACCACCATCCATCCATCTGTTCATCCAACCATCATCCATCCATCATCCAATCATCCATCTGTTCATCCAACCATCATCCATCATCCAACCATCATCCATCCATCCATATGTTCATCCAACTATCCATCCAATCACCATCCAACCATCATCCATCATCCAACCATCATCCGTCCATCATCCATCCATCCATCTGTTTATCCAACCATCATCCATCTGTTCATCCAACCACCATCCATCCATCTGTTCATCCAACCATCCATCATCCAACCATCATCCATCCATCTGTTCATCCAACCATCCATCCAATCACCATTCAACCATCATCCATCCATCTGTTCATCCAACCATCCATCCAACCACCATCCAACCATCATCCATCCACACATCTGTTCATCCAACCATCCATCTGTTCATCCAACCATCCATCAACCATCATCCATCCATCATCTATCCATCCATCCAACCATCCATCCATCCATCCAACCATCCATCCATCCAACCATGGATTCCAGGGTTCGCAGGGTCTTAAAAATTATTAAAAAGTCTTAAGTTTGAAAATCGAAACGTTGGGCCTAAATCAGGGGTGCCCAAACATTTTCACTGAGAGGGCCAAAATTAAAATCAATCTGAAGGCCGTGGGCCAAATGTAATAATATAAGAAATGCTTAATACTTAAGTAAAGTTGTTTTAATTTTTTATGATTAAGCTAGGAGCCAGTGTGGTTGCCCACATTCTTTAGTTTTTTGTTTTTCAGCCCATGGACATGGAGAAATTTCAACAACGTATCCACAGGCAGCAAAGGCTCAGGTGACTTTTCATAATTTAAAATTTGAGTATATGGGGTCTTATAAGGTGTGCAAATCTATTTATGGGCTTAAATCTAATCTAAATGTGTCTTGTAGTTACTTGTATTTTATATTTAGTCTTAACATAATTACAATCTAATAACCAGGACAACTGCTGGTGGGCCAAACCAAATGGCTCGGCGGGCCAGTTTTGGCCCGCGGGCCCCACTTTGGGCACCTCTGGCCTAAATAATCTTAAAAAAAAACACCCAAATTTTCATCCAGGGTCTCAAATTTTATTTTGTGAAGTCTTAATTTATTTTTTATAATTCCCGAGAAGTGTTGGCTGCATAAATAAACAGAGTAATCATAGATTGACTCGATCTCTCTTCAACTCAGTTTCCTACTGGTCTTACATGGTTAAACAACTAATCTAGTGATGACTGCAAGCAAAAAAATGGCAGTTTACTTTCATGTCTTTGACCTCCTCGCTGCTACCCCCCCCCCCCCCCCCCCCCCCCCCCCCCCCCCCCATGCAGTGCCTTGTTCACCTGCAAAAAACAAAAAAGTTCAGTCCTGTCTACTGCTCGTGGTTTAAACATGGGAAAGTGTGTTTTCAATGAGACTTGGCTGATATCAGTGATTTTTTCTCTCCATTGGAAGCGATCCACAGCAGTCCATATGAAGGTCTCATAGAAATAAACATTTCATTTAAATAATTTAGTGTTCTTGTATTAAAATTAAATATTCTTTTAGAGTCAAATTGATAGCAATAAAAGGAGTCTATTTGTGTCTGTACAGCTTGGCATGTATGGACAATTTGTCTGATTTTTGTGTCCATCACACTGAAACAAGGATTAGGTCCAAAAGTGAAATAGGCAGATGTATCGTTTGAACGAACCGTCTAAAATAGTCCTAAACTTTTTTGAAGCATTTTTTTGAGCAGTAGCAACAACAAAAAATTGATTTTGCGGAAAAGCACCTTAAAGTGTTAAAAAATATTCCTGTAAGCTAGCAAAGTTTTTATATTATTTGAGGTTTTCTCTTTATATTGACATCAAAAATTACTCAATAAATTTACATAAAATTAGGATTCAGACCAAACAGTAATGTATTATCATAACCAACAAGACAAATTAAGTCATATCTCTGGATAAGTTCATGATATCACAATGATCCAGGTATCAAAATGTAATATTTAAAGCAACAAATCTGAAAATGTAATGAGGTCATTTTGACCAAATTTGACTTAATCCTCATTTTGGTACGATGGGTCACATTTGTTCTCTGTCTTTCTTTTCATAATGTTTATTTCTGTAACTCAGGACACATTGGGAATAATGTGGAAAAAAAAACATGCATCAGATTGTTCTGTTCACACCTGAAATTATTTATGACCATTTTATCCAGGATGAACATTTACTTCAGGTTGATGAGGTCTTCGTCTCTGACTGGAGTAGATGGAAGTGTTCAGCCTTCACTGCCTCACCTCCAACATCCTGAGGGCCTCCCTGACATTATCTTCAGCCTTCAGAACAATGACCTGCCTGGAAGCAGGGAAATGACATGTGCAGCAGAGGAGGAGGGTTTAAAAAAAGATCACCTGTGATGTAAAAACAAGCAGGTACAGCACACACACGCACACACAGACACACACACACACACAGATATCGGCATCAAAAACGACTTTTAACGTGTTGAATGTTTTACTACATCTGTTCCGTCATTATTTGTGCTCACATGTCACATGTGCAGCAACATGTGTATCAGATGCACATGAAACCATAAAAACAGAGCTGCTGTGTGGAGATGAGTGTGAGTGATAACAGCCTGCAGGTCCAGAGCTGCAATAAAACAGCAGCAGACACTCACAATTACTGACATACACACACACAACCACACACACACACACACACACACACACACACACACACACACACACAC